GCCACACCGGGCACATGGCACATGGCACAGGGTGTAATAAACACACACACACACTCGCACACACAATACACAGACAGAATGAAAGTTTGTTTTTAAAGTTGTTTTCTCGTCGCCGCCGTTACTCCCATCTTTTTGGCTCTCTGTGTCTCTCTCAGTCCAACTCTCTCTCTCTCTCTCTCTGTCTCTCTCTGGCAGGAAGAGTTGCCCAGGATAATAATCAGCCATGTCGGCATACAAAGTGCACCTACCTACCTACCTAACTCAACCAACTCATCTAGCTACCTGGCTGTCTACCTTACCAGCTGCTGTCCACGCCCCTGACTCGGTTTGCGGGGCGAGCGAGTGGGGCGGGGGGGTCTAGGGTGGTTGGTTTTCTACATTCATAACAAGGCATGTCCGTTGTCGCCCTTCCTTGTGTACCTTCCCTCCCCCTGCTGCACACACGCGGGGCTCTACGTAACCGTTAAAAACTCTGCAAAAACACACACAGAAAATCGATAAATTTTTGCACTTGCCAAAGAGCAGACGCCTGGGCATGGACCGCTGGGCGATGGGTGGGGCAGGCCGAGAGTGACAGATGGAGAGTGAGTGAGTGAGAGAGAGAGTGAGCAGAAGAGGGAGCACGGCAAAGGGAGGGCAGGGTTGAATGTGAGAGAGTTGTTGCCTCAAGCTTCTGCTGCTTTTACTGCGTTGTAGCGGCATTTGCCTTCAGGACAACTTAACGGTTGTTGTTGTTGCCGTTGCCGTTGCTGTTGTTGTTGCTGCTGCTTCTTCTCTTTTCGCATTCGCCTCTGCACACAGTTTGGCTCGTGTAAGTGTGTATGTGTGTGTGTGGTTGTGTGCCTGCCCTTTGGCTGCCCTCGCTGTTAGTTTTTCTTGTATGGCGACTTTTATTTTATATATGCCACTCACACACAGGCATGCATATATACTTGCATACACACACACACACACGTATGTATACATGCATATATGTATGTATCTGCATATAGCACATGCAATGTGGCTCACAGGCGTGGCTGTTGAATGGGCCGCATTGGGTGGCGCTGCTCGCAAGGATGCTGCCAGTCGACGCACACACTCACACACTCACACACACATTTATATATGTATATACATGTATACATTGCACTTGCACAGGCACATAACGGCACATGTGGCCTGTCTCAGTGGCGCTGCCAGCGTCGCAGCTGCTGCGCAGCCACTTTTCAACAGAAATGCAAAACAAAAACAGAAAACAAAACAAACAACAACAACAAAAAAAAAAAGAAGTTGTTCAAGCTGCAAATTTTAATTATTTGTTGATGTTGTAAGTGTAGTTGTAGTTGTTGTCGGTGTTGTTTCTGGCGCAACTTTAAAGCCCACGCAAAACAGAGATGTTAAGAGAGAGCGAGCGAGAGAGCGAGAGCGAGCGAGAGAGCCGACTTGAAGAGCGTCAGCAACAGAGCTTATTAAAAGCAAAGCTCTTTTCGTAGTTTTTGTTTTGTTTTGAGTTTCTTCTTCTTCTTCTCCTTCTTCTTCGTTTTGCTGTTTGTGTCCATTAAAGTTGCATTTTCAACTGGAGATGGGGCAAGTGAAAATAGATTAAAATCAAATTGAGAGAACAGAGGACAAACGATAACTGACAGCAGCAGAAAGAAAGTTCTTTTTGCAATTTGTTGTTGTTTTTCAATTTCTTTAGCTAATGCGTCGAAAAGCTTTTCATGTGCTTCAAGCTGGACGAAAGAAAACAAAAACACGCGCAAAAGTAATTAAAGCAAGTAAATAAAGTGTGCAAGTCTTTGATAACAAAAGAGAAAATTGAAATAGACATGTAAAAAATAAATAAATATATATATAGTAAATACATACATACATACATATATCTATATCTAATGGCTGAGTAGAAAACAATAATCAATGAAATGGCATATTAAATGGCTCCTAAAGTTAATTAAATATACCTTAGAAAATACAAATGAAATTCGATAAGAGACAAGCCAGAAATGCGAATGGCATAGAAGGGAATGGCAGGGAATGGCAGGGAATGGAATGCCATGGAATGGAATATTAAATTGCAAATAGAAAGCTATTTTATAATTAAAGCCTTATGCAATCAATAATGAACGCACACGCATACTAATTCGCTATCTCTATCTCTCTCTCTCTCTCTTACTCGTTGCAGGTAAGCCATCAAAACGAAAGAAACTCGAAGCTGGCAACTCGAAACTTGCAACTCGAATTCAAAGGAGCTCGCAAATTGGCAATCGTTGGCAACGCGGGCACAGGCACTGGGCAACGGGGGGGCAGCAACATCGTGGTGTGATTGCAGAGGAAAGGAAATCTCTGTGTGTGTGTGTGTCGAGTTCTCGGGGTGCGAGAGGCTCAATTTCGTTTGCATGCACACATTGTATGTACAGATGTGTGTGTGTGTGTGTGTGTGTGTGTGTGATTGCTGTAGGTCGATATGATTGATGAGAAATGGCAGCTAGCAGGAGCAGCAGCAGCAGCAGCAGCAGCAGCGTCGACGTCGTCGTCGTTTGATTTTAAAGCTGAATGAGCCAGACAGAAGCCGCTGTCGCCAACGCCGCCACAGCACATACACACATACATATTACTTCGTTTGAATGTGTGTGTGTGTGTGTATGAATGAGTGTGCAGAGAGGGGGTGGTAGCGCAGCTTTAAAGCGTGCTGTTGTTTCGCCTGCTTCATTCTTTAAAAATAGCTATCACTGAAGTTTGGCAACGTTGCAGCTATGCATTCCGCTGCTCTGCGCAGCGTCGCTAAACTCTGTCTATCCCTCTCTCTCTCTCTCTATTTCGCTCTCTCGCTCTGTCTATGTGTCATTATTATTTAATGAATTAATAACCGACCGAGCTGTGTATGCGGGTGTCTGTTTCTCATGGCTACCCCTCCCACTGGCGACAACATTTGCCTGACGTGTGTGACGTTCGCTCTGTCGGGTCAAACGCGTCGCACGTTAATCACAACTCAAACGCAACGGCCCAAGCGTCAGCAGCTGCGACGCAACCGTTTAAAAAAGATATTTTAATAATGACGACGGACTTGGGGTGGATTATGGCATAGGCCGCAGCAGCAGCAGCAGCAGCAGCGAACGAACAGCAGCGGCAGCAGAATTGCTGATGTTGCTGCTTGACATGTTCGTTGTGCACATGTTGCGGCAACATGCTGCCGCAGCACGCTCGATGTTGCCGTTCGCCGCACACATGTTGCTCGAACATGTCGAACTGTCATGCTGCTTTGTCGCACTCGCTCGCTCACATACACAGGCGCACACAGCTCACGAAAACGAGCAGCGTAGCTATACACTCGCTCTCTCGCTCATTTTGGTCGCTTCACATTCGCACCGCAACGTGTGCAACATGTGTGAAGCTGTCGGCCAGCCGGCCGGCCGGGTTCGTGTCCTCAATAAATATGAAGAGGCAGCATTAAGGCGCATCGCTCAAATGCAACTAATAAATTTTACATTCTATGCAAATTGATGCGCGCTGCACTCGGATTAGCGTAGATTGGCCCAGGCGTGCACAATGGGGTCAAACCTGTTTAGCCACTTGATAAAGCCATCATCATCTTGAGCGCTGGCCTTCAAGCGATTACTGAATGCACCTGCTGGCTTAAGATACACAAACACACACAAAAAAAAAGAAGAAGAAAAAAAGAGATAAAAGGCAGGAATGTCTGACGAAATTGTAAAAAAATTTGGAATTTGGATCCATCTGTAGCTTGATTGGTTTTAAGTATGTTGGGCGAGAATTGCGTTGAATTCTTGATAACTAAGTTCATTCGAACTAGTTAACTCAGTCAGTCCGAACTGTGTGAACTAAAGAACTAATTCATTGCTCACTTGATTATTTAGTTAAGATCTAGGCTTAATTGTTATTGATATCAAAAGTTCATGAACTATTCGTTCCATTGGCAAATGCAACAGAGCGAACTAGTGCTGTTCATTTTATGTAACTCGTCATTGGAACTTATTCAGTCAATCAATGTAAACGGAGGAACTAATTCATTGTTCACATAATTGCTTAGTTTAATTCAGGGTCAATTATTAATGATATTAATAGTTCATGAACTAGTGCTGAACTAGTGCTGGTCACATCTAATTAAGCTATGTAGTTCACCATCGGAACTCATTCAGTCAAACAGTGTGAATTAAAGAACTAATTCATTGTTCACTTAATTGTTAAGTTTAGTTCCAAGAGCAATTATTTATTAATATTTTTAGTAGTTCATAAACGAGCGAACTCTAAATGGTCATATATGTATATAGGTTAAATGTTATAGCTCACAGCTGGAACTTATTCACTAGCCTACTTAGTCAAAACAGTGAACTATAGAACTAATATAAATTTATTTAAAAAAAAAAGTTGTCAATTGTTCATGAACGATTCGTTTAATAGCTCATGAACCATTCGTTCTATTGGCATTGGTTTCATTGCAGCTGAACAAGTCCAATTCATATCTAGCTTAATTAGTGACTTGAACTTGTTCATTAGGGAAATATCGATATTGCGCTGAACATGAATCGATATTGATCGATATTTATGAAGTGAACTGTACAGATAGATATAGTTGGAATATAATGATAAATGAACAAATGAATAAATGAAGGAATAAATGAATTAATAAATATATGAATGAATGAATGAATGAATAAATAAATGAATGAATAACTGTAAATATATAATAATATATATTCAATTTAATTAATGAGTGAGTTAATGAATTAATGGAGAGTCAAGCAATCCGAGTTGCCTAGTTTTTTTTATTAGTTGTACATATATCGTCTAATATATCGTTATATATATCGTAAACGTACATTAGGTGCTAATAATATAAATATAGAGTGAAATGAATGAGTGAATGAATAGTTTATCTGTCCGAGTTGCAAAGGTTGTTAGCTTGATAAATAGATTGATATATATCGTCAGATATATCGTAAGATATATCGCATGTCTACACACAAATCTAATAATCTGTTGTTCTTTCTCCCCCACTGGTCGTACAGGACAATGGAGCAGCAGCCGTATGTCAAGAGCCTCGGACACTTGCAATCCCATCAGCAGCAGCAGCATCAGCAACAGCAGCAACAACAACAGCAGCAGCAACAGCAGCAACAGCAGCAAATGCATCACCACCACCACCAGCAGCAGCAGCATCAACAGCATCAGCAACAACAGCATCAGCAACAACAGCAGCAGCAACAGCAGCAGCAACAGCAGCAGCAGCAGCAGCAGCAACAACAGCAGCAGCAGCAGCAGCAGTCGTCGAGGTCGGCAGCTAGTCCGCTGTCGCCTCCGCGTCCTGGACCGGGCAGCGCGGCGGCCGCAGCTGCGGCGAATAGCTACGCCAAGTTTGCGGATGCGCCGCAACATTTTATACAGCCACCGGCGTACAGCATTGGGATTGCGCCGGTGGCCAACTATCATCGGGAGAGTCCATATATGCGGATACCTCAGCTGCAGGCGTCGGTGCCGGAGTTTCAGCGGGCGGCGCGTGCAGCGACGGTGGCCGCCGCCGCTGCTGCCGTTGGCAGTGGCAAAGGCGGCCCGGGCAGCAGCAGCGGCGGCGGCGGCAGCAGCATTGGCGTCGTCGCCTCAACCGCCGGCCCAGGCAGTAGCAGCGGCGGCGGCGGCGTCCTCCAAGTGGCCGGCAGCATGGCCCCGCCAGGCGCCCAGCCCGGCGGCGTTCTCGTCATGGAGGCCATGTCGCATTACCAGTCGCTGCATTACAACAACGAATACCTGACCAATGCCGCAGCCTTGGCAGCGGCTGGACAGCGCCAGCAGCAACAGCAGCAACAGCAGCAGCAGCAGCAACAACAGCAGCAACATCCGTCGCTGTCTGAGCCGCCGGGCAGCGTGGGTCAGCCCTATAAGAAGCAGCGCCTGAGCGACGCCAATGTCAGCAACATGAATCACCTGCCACACCAGCAACAGCAGCAGCAGCAGCCGCAGCAACAGCAGCAGCAACGCTCCTCGCCAGCTCAGCAACACAACAGTAGGCAGAGCAATCATGAGGCGGAGCAGTCGCGGCGCGTGTTGCACATGCCCGCTGGCTCAGTGCTGACGCCGCTGGCCATGCAGCAGCTCAAGATGGAAACGCTGCCACAGCTGCAGCAGCAGCTGCAACAGCTGACGTCGCAGGTGCATGCGGCACGTGGCATGGTGCCGCCGCCAACTGTGTCAGCATCCAATGCGCAGCTGATCAGCTTCTCCACCAGCAGCAGCAACAGCAGCAGCAGCAACAACAACAACAACAGCAGCAGCAGCAGCAGCAACAGCAGCGCCCAAGCTTCAGTAGCAGCAGCTGCAGCAGTGGCGGCAGCAGCCGCAGCAAGTAGCACAGAAGCATACCATCCACAGGTGACGAATCGTTGAGATTGAAGCCAGTGAATGACATTAGCTGAACAATAGATTAATCATCGAATTAAAATTAACTGAAGAAATTCGATCTATAACAGATAAGACGAACCTTTCATATTGAGAGTATATACTAGTAGGATCACTTCGCATCCTTATCATGGAATAAAGATTCAGCAAGGATAGAAATCCATAAACTTTGTGAGAAATTTGAGCAAATCTACATCAGAGAAGATCTATCTATCTCTAATAGAGAGTATATACACAAATGGAGTTACTTCTTTATCTAGAGTCACTGCTAACTTAACTTATCTACGATATAAGACTAAGCAAAAGAGATGCACATCTATTCATTTTTGTGAAAAACTAGAGAAATTCTATCTATAACAAAGAGTAACCATATAATAGAGAAAATATACAGTCATAGGGTCACTTCTCATCCTTGCCATGGAATTAACATTAAGATAGATGGCTCTTAGAAATTCATTCATTTTTATGAGTGATTTGAGCAAATCTATATTACAGAAGATTTATCTCTAATAGAGAGGCTATACACAACTAGAGTTACTGCTATATCTAGAGAAGATCTATTTTTAATCGAGAGGATACACACGAATAGAGTAACTCTTCATCTTAATTGTAGAATTAAGATTGGGCAAAGTAGACGCATAGCTAGACAGCTCTTAGACATCCATTAATTTTTGTGCAAAACTTGAGATATTCGATCCATATCAGAGAACTATCTTTAATGGAGAGAATATACACAAATAGAGTCACTTCTCATCCTTGTTATGGAATTAAGATTAAGCAGAGATAAATAGTTAGAAATCCAACAAGAGAGAGATAAGAGGAAATCTATATACAGTAGACTCATCTCAGATAGTGAGGATATGCACAAATAGAGTAACTTCTCATCTTATTCAATTTATATTCTTTGTATGAAGTGTGTATATTCAAAAAACAGAGCTCAGAGTATATAAAATAAAAACTTGTAATGTGTTCATTTTGTATTCCAGCAATTAAAGCTTAAAATACGCCCTAAAGATCTATATAAAGCAATATCGCTTATTAGACAATGATTATAGTTATGTCAAGTAGCTCTATAGGGATGTATCTAGCTTTGATGTGTTTAATAAAAGCTTTAATGTGCTTTTTCAGATCCTCAATGTGCTTTCTAAAAGCTTTACTATACTTGAGTTGCTCAATTGTAGTGCAAAATATACTGATTCAATGAGCTATCTGAGTTATAACTAGCTTTTGCCAACAATTTAATTGCTATGTGAAAGCTTTAATGTGCTTTCGAAAGTAGTTTTTCACCCTCAGTCTAATGAAAGCTCGTCTTCGATTTGTTTACAAAGCTTAAGATTTGAATTGGGAATATCTTATTTAGCAGAAAAGAAAATGATAGTAAAACATCGATAAACATCGATAAACATCGATAAACATCGATAATTTAATCGCATCGCGTTCAGCTAATGTCACTGCACCACAATATTCTGAGATGTTTGCCTATTAATTCTCTCATTACCTACGGCAGGTGGAGGCCATTTCACCAACGCTGCCCAGCGACAATGCAGAGGAGCGTGGACGCAGCAGCAGCACAGGCGGCGCCAGCAGCAGCAGCAACATTAACAGCAGCAGCAGCAGCAGCAGCAACAATGCCAATAATAACAGCGGCAGCAGCAGCGGCGGCGGTAACAGCAGCAACAGCAGCAGCAGCAACAGCGCCAAGGAGGATCTGCTATTGCAAATCCAGCGCGTTGACAATGAAATCGAGTATGCCGAAACGGCAATGGTAACGCTGCGCAAGAAGGAGAAGACGCTGCTGGACGAGGCGGCGGCGGCGGCGGCGACGGTTAAGCAGCAGAAGGCGGCCGCCGAGCAGGCGGCAGCTGAGAGCGGCAATGAGCGGTATATGGAGCTGGGCTGGCGCACGCAGCTGCTGGCCCAGCGCGTATACGAGGCGAACCGCAAGACGGCCGCCGCACAACATTCCGCGGTGAGCGAGGCGGGCGGCGTGAAGAGCATGACACGCCCCTGGCTGCCGCTGTACAATCAGCCGCTGGACGTGGAGGCGCTGTCGCAGCTGATCAAACGGCATCAGACACTGGTGCGGGCGCCGCTGCTCGTGCACATACGCAAGATGAAGGCCGACCGCTGGGAGTACAACCAGGGCCTGGTGGAGAAGTATGCCAAGGATCAGGCCGACTGGCAGCGCCGCTGCGAACGGGCCGAGGGCAGCGCGAAGCGCAAGGCGCGCGAGGCCAAGAATCGCGAGTTCTTCGAGAAGGTGTTCACGGAGCTGCGCAAGCAGCGCGAGGACAAGGAGCGCTTCAATCGTGTCGGCTCGCGCATCAAGTCCGAGGCGGACCTCGAGGAGATCATGGACGGGCTGCAGGAGCAGGCGTTGGAGGACAAAAAGATGCGCTCCTATGCCGTGATACCGCCCCTGATGCACGATGCCCGGCAGCGTCGCTGCGCCTACCACAACGAGAACGGGCGCATCGAGAACATGATTGTCGTCCATGAGGAGCGCAAGGCACTCAATCTGTGGACGGCCGGCGAGAAGGAGACGTTCAAGGAGAAGTATCTGCAGCATCCGAAGAACTTTGGCATGATCGCCGCCAGCCTGGATCGCAAGTCGCCGCAGGATTGCGTACGCTATTACTACCTCAGCAAGAAGACGGAGAACTATAAGCAGCTGCTGCGCAAATCCCGCCAACGCACACGCAGCAGCCGGAATCCGGCCAAGGCGCAGGCCCAGCTGCCGCAGTGCATCATCGATTCGCTGACCACGGGCGTCACGACGCGCCTGCAACGCGAACAGCAACAAAAGTCCGGTAATCGCTCCAGCGCCGTGGCGGAACGCGAACGGGCCGAGCGTGCCGCCGAACGGGAACGCGTCGCCGAGAAGGCAGCCGCTGATGCCGCCAAGGCGGCCGAGTGTGCCGCCGAGAAGGCGAGCGCCGTTAGCAAAGCTGCCGAAGCGGCGGCGGGCAGCGAAAAGGTGGCCAAAAATGCAGCAGCCGCCGCAGCAGCAGCAGCAGCGACGGCAGCGTCAGCGTCAGCAGCAACAGCAACAACTGCGGACAAAGCGGATGCGGGCAAGACGCCAGCTGGAGCGAATAAGAATGCAACAGCTGCAGCAGCAGCAGCTAAAACGGAGATCTCAACGGGCAGCAGCAGCGACGCCAAAGCCAAAACCGCTGAGGAGGAAGCGCCAGCAACAGCAACAGCAGCAGGAGCAGCAGCAGCAGCAACAGGAGCAACAGCAGCAGCAGCAGCAGCAGCAACAGGAGCAACGGCAACAAGTGCGTCGGCGAATGTTGCTGGCGAGGCAGCTGCAGCAGCTGCTGCTGGTGCGACTGTTGCGATTGCTGCTGCGTCCAAGGCATCCAAGTCCCAGCCAGGCGATGGCAAGGCAGTGAAGGCAGCGGAGCAGCCGGTCGAGACGGATGAGCAGCTGGCCGGCAAGAGCAAAGCAACGGCTGCCGATGGCTACAGTGGTAAGTGGCTACAGTGGAAGTGGATTTCAATTACTGCCGAGACTCGCTAATTTTGAATTTCTCCTTGCAGCAACTGGTGCAACATCTGGCAATGCGACGGCAACGGCAACGGCGACGCCAGCGGTTAGCGTGGCCATCAATGGCTTTAAGCCTGGCTATCAGAGCGTCGTCATGGCCAACGTGAAGGCGTCCGCGCCCCCCGCTGGCATCGATGATGCTGCAACGGGCGCTGCTGCAACGGCAGCCGCTGCAACCTCGACAAATGCAACTGGCGATAAAATCGTAAAGACGACGTCGACTGCAGCGACAGCAGCAGCAGCAGCATCGGCAGCAGCAGCATCGGCAGCATCAGCATCAGCGGCTGCTGCTGGCTTTGCTGTGCCCAATGCGGCAGCTGGAGCCACGGAGCCGGTGAGCGGCGTGCCAACGCTTACCACGGCCACCACGGCCGGCAACTATTTGGGCCAGAAGCTGAAGGCGGCCCAAGTGGAGGGACTTGGTGCCGGCAATGAGCTGCATGCGGACGTTAGGTGAGTTATCGATCGGGCAGGGATCAAATTGCTATCGATTACATTGCAAAAATGTGACTTGTACTTGGGCCTTAGTATGCGAATCGATTCAGGTTTTGTGATAGTGGAGATATCGATAGAGCATTAATCAAATATAGTCGATAAATATATCGATAAGTTGATACTAGCTTATAAATAGAAATGTTTGAGTGTAAGTAAAGCTATTGAGGCAAGCCATGCATACTGATCGAGGAATATATTGATAACATGATACTAGCATTTAAATAGACTTGTTTGAATGAAAGTAAAGCTGATATCGATAATTTGATATTGTCTTATAAATAGAAATGTTTGAGAGAAAATAAAATTTATTGAGACAAAATCAATGATTTTAATCAACACACATATCGATAGCAGAGTGCAGTATCAGACAAAGACAGACAGATTAACTGTTAATAAATATATCGATAGGCTTATAAATAAATAAAACAATTCAAGAGAAAGTAAAGTTACTGATTCAAATTAATGATATTGATAAAATACTTATTGATAGCAGAGATCTATCAGTCGATAAATAAGATCAAAGCTACTAAATCGGAAAGAGTTTGAGAAAGTAAAATTATCGATAGGAAATTATGTTATTGACAAAACATTTATCGATAAGAGAGTAATCGTTCTAGCTAAATACATTGAAAATATTATAATTGATGCTAAATAGATGAGGAGTTAGAACAAGTAAAGTTATCGATACGAGCTAATAACATTGATAAAATGCTTATTAATAGGAAAGTGTTAGCTGTCGATATATGTATAGCCGGATAAGAGATCGATTAATAAATTGACTTTATAAATCAAATATACATCGTTTAAAGTAAGAGAAGTAATACTATCGAATATCGAATAGGTACAATGTCAATAAAATAGTAATCTTTAAAGGAATGATAGCTATCGATGAGCTATTAATGATGCAATATATCGTTGGATTGGTATATTGAACAGATAGAAATCGATTAGCCATCCTGCTCGGCTATATCTATGAATGATCCATTGACAGCATATGTAATTTCTTGATTCATTATTAATGAAATTTCTTTTCGTATTTCCCACAGCGATGCCAAGAAGAAACGCTTTGAGCTGGCGCCTGGCGAGTCCAACGTTAACAACAATAATAACAACAACAACAACAACAACAACAATAACAGTAGCAACAACAACAACAGCAACATCAAACTGAACGCCAGCGATGCGTCCAATCAAATCTCGTCCATTGGCAAAGGCGCCGGCTCCGGCTTGGCGCCCGCCTCCTCGTCCTCATCCTCGTCGTCGTCGACCTCATCGACGATGTTCATTAGCGCCGCATCGCTGATATCGACAGCATCGTCGCCGTTGACGACGGCAACGGGAACCGCAACCGGAACCGGAACTGGAACTGGAGCCGGAACGAGGCCAGCGACAACGTCAACATCTACGCCAATGGTCACAGATCGAGCGGGCAATTTGTTGAACACCTCCGAGGCTCTGGCATTGGATGCCAAAGGTAAGTGCCAAACGTTTTGTTTAACTATTTTAGGCCGAGATTTATATAGCCAAAAGTTCGAACGGATCTGGAAAATTTCCCATGTAACATATCAATGTTCTATAGAATTCTACGGATCCAACTTCAGAGTCTCAGATTTACACCCAAAAAGCTCTCTTAACCTATACCGAAAGCTTTGGGAAATGTGCATTGCTATCTGCTAGTGAAAGCTTAGTGCTTGAAGCCTCTTTTTGAAAGGACTTAGAAAGCTTTAAAGCTTTCAGATATTTAAATTCTTTGGCTGAATTGCAGTGAAGTTGTAAACAGTTTGAGCTCTCGGCCCTTTAGAGCTTTAAAGCGTTTTAGTTCATCCATTTACTATTGCATCTAAAGCCCGAAGCTTAAAGCGTCTCCTGTTGAAGCTCTGGTTGTAGTTATTTGCAAGCTTTCTCATGGCTTAGCCCATGTATAGCTTTAAAGCTTGTTGGAGCCTTTACAGTTGTACTTTAAGCTTTCTGTTTATACAGAGCTTTTAGAGCTTTACCTGTTTTTCTTTTAACGGCTGCAGCTGCAATTGAACTGCATTTGCTGCTGGACTTTCGTCCTACGTCCTTTGCGGCTCATCAAAAATGCATTTCGCGCTTTCCCAATTATCGTGCTCGCTGCCCTTTGTGTGGAATCTGAATATGAAGTGTTTACCCCAGCTTGCGTTCGTCCTTCGTCCTCCTTCGTCCTCCTGCTGCTGCTCGCTTTTGTTTGACTTCTTTCGACTGTCACCGATGAATAGTTGATGCATCTGCATACGCCTCAAGTCCAACTGCTGCTGAGCTGAGCTCAGCTCAGCCTGTGGATGCTTGATTGGTGCCTGCCACGTTTTCGCCATGGTCCAAGTGGGTGGTGCGTGGGTGTGAGGCTTGAGGAGTGGGCTGGTGGAGTGTGAGTGAGGGATGGGTCTCTAGCCATCTGTCCGTCTGTCATTCAGTGCGACGCGTTGCGGTTTGCTTCCAGCTACAGCTCGACCGATTTACCTCCTCTTCCTCTCATCTCTTCCCCCATCCTCATACACCCTCACTCTTCCTTTCTCTCTCTTTCTTTTTTTTCTTCTCTCTCTCCTTCCGTTGCCTCCACATGAACGTTTGTTGTCTGTCATCTCCCTGGCGAGTTAATTAAACGCAATTAAATTAAAATTTTTGTAAACGTCTTTTTTATTATGCAAGTGATTTAATTTAATTATTAAATTGCCGCAACGTTTGTTTGCGTTAACCGACGCCATCTTTGCCACAAAAGAGCGAGAAGCGAGAAGCAAGTAGCACGAGGCAAGCTGAAGGGTTGCGGCACGCCCGAGGAGTGCTCGCATTCAGGGAAGGAGACGAAGCGTTCGAACTGTGCTCAACTTTCAATTAATCAGTTTGATTGACAGCAATCGATTAGTCTCATCGATAAGTATTACCGATAGCAAATACATAGTTCTATGTATAGTAGTAGAAACTTGATTTGATTATAGGAAATCACAATTGTTGCGCTCGATACCAGGGTCGATCGATAATTGCACTTATCGATAACAATGCAAATGTTATAGTGGTTGTTTTCTACAGCTATATCATCAATACAATTGATTTGTTGCAAATATGTTGCATTAGCTTACACGTTGATGTATTTATCGATAAAGTGTACTATCGATAAAACTTCTAATTGTTTCGATTCTTAGTAAAAGTGTTGAAAGCACTAAACATTTATGGACTACACTTGATATGGCGTGCGTTTCCTATTTATCGATATGCCATTGAATCAGTTATCGATTGTTCACAATTTTCTTTTGTATATTTAACTTTTATTTATTCAAACTTTAGAGCAATTCACAAAAAAAAAATTGTATGTGCGTGTGTGTGTGTGTGCGCGTGCTAAATTCGATAATTTATCGATATGCGTTTTGATTAGATTAGTTCGTTGCCTCCAAGGAGCTGGCCACTGTTGTTGCTTCACGTTTGGTGTTGCCACTGCTGTTGCTGTTGCTGCTGTTGCTGTTGTTGCTAGTCAAATTGTTGTTGGTGTTGCTGCTATTATTATTGTTGTTGTTGTTGCTGTTGTTGTTCTCGAGCTCATCGGCATGGCACAGCTTGCGATGCTTGTGCACAAAATAATAGCTCGGGAACTTGCTGCCGCACGTCTTGCACGGATAATACTGCACATTCATGTCCAGGGGACGCACCTCGCGGCGCAGCAGCGCTGCTGCAGCCAGATTGCCATCAGCAACTGTTGCAGCCGCTGCAGCTGTAGCTGTGGGCGTTGCTGCCGCTGCCGCTGCTGCTGTAGCAGTTGTTGTTGCTGCTGTTAGGCAAATCAATTCGTTGCCGCTGCCGCTGTCCGGCGTCTCCGCTAGCTTCTTGTCCAAGCTGAGCGGATTCAAGTGGCGCTTGGCATGCTTCTGATAGCAATATTGCGACTTGAATGTGTGTTTGCAGTAGACGCAGACGAACAACTCAGCATGCGTTTGCTTGCGCTGATTAGTGGCCGCAGCAGTTGCTGTTGCAGTTGCGCTGGCCGTTGCTGTTGCTGCGGCAGTTGCTGCTGCTGTTGCATCGCTGCTGTTCTCGTTCTCCTCCTGCTGCTGCTGTCGCTGCTGGCTGCTAATGGCGCGCGCCATTTGCTGATGAAACGAGTAGCTGACGCTCTGCTGCGTCCGCTGCTGCTCGCCCGCCACGAAGCTGCTGTCCGGCTTGTGGCCGTACGCCGTATTCAGTATGCGCCGAAAGCGCACGGGCCCATCGCAGCTGGCCACATCGATGATGAACTTTGATGCTTGTGTTGCTGTCTCCAGCTGCACCGATGCAGGCAACGTTGCCTTGGCTACCGGCAATCGATTGTTGCTGTTGTTGTTGCTGTTGCTGCTGCTGCTGCTGTTGTTGCAGTTGCTGCTGCGTTTGCTTTGACTTTTGCGCGAGTTGTTGCTGCTGTTGTTGTTGCCGCGTCGCTGCTTGTGCGCGCCCGTTGTAACAGCAATTGTTGCTTCTGCTGCAGTTGCTGTTGGTGGCGGCGGTGGTGACGCCGGCGTCGGCGTCGGCGTTGGCGTTGGCGTCGGCTGCTTTGTTCTGGCATCGACGCGCTCAATGTTCAGGCTGCTGGCCGCGCTGCTGCTGGCCAGGCTGCTCACCACCGACACGTTGCAGTCCTCCGTGTCGAGCTCATTGTCCGTGGCCGTGTTGCTGTCGATGAACACCTCGACATCCTCCTCCTCCTCCTCCTCGTCGGGCTGCTGCAGCGTCAAGGGCTCAGCTGGCTGCAGCTGCAGCTGCATTTGTTCCGTCTCCAACGGCTGCTGCAAGTAGCTGGCTGCGGCAGCAATTGTTGGCGCTGGTGCTGGCGGCGGCGGCGGCGGTGGCGGCAATGCTGGCGCCGGCAAGAATCCGAAATTCGGCAGAGTCGCTTTGCTGGCAATGGGTCGTATGATCTTGGAGGCGCCACCGCCGGCAGCAGCAGCTGAGGCAGCAGCCAGCTGCAGCTGATGCGGATTGGCCGGGCTGCCGCTGAGGTAGCCCTCCGTTTGGGCGCGTGCCAAGAACGAACTGAGCGGTGCAAAAGCAAAAAGTGGAGCGATCAAAAAACAAAAGTAATTAAATAAAATAAGACAAGACTGCAAAGCAAAGTGAGATGAGTCGATGCGAATGCCTACCGACAGATCTCCAGGGCGCGCGGCATGTGCAGCACGTGCGTGGCCAGCAGCACGGCGAATATGTTGTCCACGTTGAGGTCCAAGTAGCCCGTGTACATGTAGGTGAGCAGCGGGGCGAACTGCTCGGCCGTCACGTTGCTCAAGTAGAGCAGCAATTCGCCTCCTGCTGCGGCAGCGGCAACGGCAGCCGCTGCTGCTGCCGCCGCAGCAGCAACAGTTGCTGCCGTATTGGCATTGGCTGTGGCCGCTGCCGCGGCAGCTGCTGCCGCCGTTGCCGTTGCCTCGTCCATGCGAATGGCCGAGCGCAAGTAGCCGCTGTGCATGCCCAGGACGAGGGCGTGCGCCACGAAGCGGACGCTGTTTGGCGCCGGACCCACTTCCAGGATAACATCCGGCGGTGTGGACATGACGCCGCCAACACCAACCATGGACATGTTGTTGCTGGCAGGAGCCGGCAGGCGACTGTTGCTGCTGCTGCTGGCATTGCTGCCGTTGCTGCTGCCAGTTAACCAATTTGTAAACATGAAAAAAAAAAAACAAAAAAACGAGAGGAGAAATCAACAAACAACAAACGCGACGAGTTGCGACGTTCAAGAGTTTGTGTTGTTGTTGTTGTTGTTGTTGCTGTCTTGTTTGAATGAGAAAAAAAAATAATTGTAGCTGCGATCCGTCACGTGTGCAGCACAAATGCGAACTGATGAACGCCTCGTGTTGCATGGCGTGTTTTATAGCCAGCACGAGAAGGCAGACACTCGCACACACTCGCACACACACACACACACACACACACAGATAGCCAGCTAGCGTCAGCTGTGTGAGTCCTTCGGCTGCTGCGTTGTTCGGCTTTGGCTCTGGACTTCGGCTGTTTGACGATTTGTTGCTGCTGCTGCTGCTGTTGTTGTTGTTGCTGTTGCTGCTAGCGTTTTGTTTGTTGTCGGCTAGGTCTGTTTAATTGGTTGTTGCTGTTGCTGTTGCTGTTGCAGCATATTTTACAAATTCATAGCCAAAATTAAGATGCCAACTAAATGAGTTGCTCACTTTGTGGCAAGTGTTAAATGGTTAACTCAATCAATTAAATAAATCGAAATAACACAAATATAAATCAAATGTAAATAAATCTAAAATATGCATTCGTTTATATATTGTATTTTTAAATAAATGAAAATAATGCAATATATATATAAATATAAATAAATAAAAAATACAATAAATATACTTACATAAATGAAATGTATGTATTCATAATTAAAATAAATAAAAATATATTTAAAAATCATAAAAAATAATAATAAAAAATAAATAGAAAAAAATCTATAAGGTAAATTAATAAAAATATAAACGTTATATAAAAAAAAAAAAAATAATACAATAAATTTGCAATAAATAAAAAATTAATAATAAATTAATAAATTAAAATTAATACATATACTCGAATACATATAAACAAGAAATCTTTTAATAGTTTGTGATATATATTTATGCTTATTAAACAATTGCAAAAGTTTCAGAGTTGGCATAAAAAGTGTTGCCTACTTATGAGCGTTGCCCAAGGCAAACTTTTTCAGATGCTAATTTGAATCCATTTCAAGCATTTCAATAGAGCCATTTGTTGGCGTAAGATGGCGCTGCAGTGCTCTATAGAGGTATTCCATATAAAAAGGCTGACACGACCAATTGATGCAGCTTCATCGAGCTGTTGACCAAATTCTTAAGGCCTATGACAATAAGGAGTATTGTAACGCCCTCTATCTGGGCATCCGGGAGGCGTTTGATAGAGTTTGGCCTAACGGTATCCTATTGAAAATCAAGCGAGCTTTCCCTGCGCCATATTCCAGATTGTTCAGGTCGTACCTCGAGGCGATTCGCGGTTTCCATACGGCACTATCCACTGAGCATGACGTGGCAGCTGGAGTCCTTGGTCCCCTGCTGTCCAGCCACGACGTGCCGCAGCCTGTTTATAGCCTCTATGGACCATCAATGCTGGCTTGGTAATAAGGTGACAATCTATAAGCAAATCATTGCGCCAATATGGAAGTACGGGTGTCGAATTTGGGGTTTGGGCCCAATTCGTAGAATTCATGAAATTGGTTACTGGCTGCGAATGGTATATAAGAAACACCACATTGCACCGGGACATGAAACTGGCCATCGTAACGAAATTAACCAGCACTCGAGTCAGTACAATGATTGGAGCGGAACAGCAACCAGATAGCAAACATGCTCACTCGAAACCGAACTCCTAGGAGGCTGAACCGAAGGCAACCGAGGGACCTAATTCTCCGATTTCCTTTTATGATGGTCAAAATAATTAGACTATAAGCTCACAAAAGGGTACCTAGAGTACCTCGTATGGCTTCAATAAACATTATTAAATTAAGCAACCTTCAGTTAGATAACAATTTAAAAATCACATAAGAATGCAAAAATTTCATTCTCATTACATTGAATATAGGAATTCAAAGTTTCATAACTAGGTTTCAAACAACTAAATCAGAAGTGTATGCTGAAATGTCTTGAATATTTTATATCGTTGCCTTAGAATAAACCTAAACTGTTCTTAGACAAAAGTTAAGAACAAAACCCCAACAGTTTCTTTTAAGCCTCTTGAGTTAAACATAAATTAAATAAATACCTTCGTTAAAGCTTTGTTAGATAACAAACACTAAGTATATAGGATAGGAGGTAAACGAGTTATAGAGAGAAACTAGCTATTAGATTTTGGAGTCTTCTCCTAGTTCTAGCAGATCTTTAGGCTGCTGTACCTGGCAGCCTCGTCAAGTCAAGTCTCTTGCGGCCAAATACATAAATTTCCATATGAGTGTTGGCTCGTCTTGGCTTGGAAACATTTGGTTGGCAAGGCATTCTGCAATTGTCCCATGGTCTCATTTGATTCTTGCTGTCCTTTATGCATTAGCAGATCACAAAGAAAGAAAAGAAATGCTATAAACCGCGCACCTTTTGCTTCGCTTCGTTTCGTTTCGTTTCGTTTCGCTCTGCTCTGCTTTGAGCTCTAGCTTTATTCACATTTCCTCAATTTTTTGAAACTGTTCGAAAATCGTCCGTTTGCCTTTTGGCTTTGCGTCAATCCATTGCCACGCCCACTCAAGCGTGTACGTACGCCCCTTTTGGCCTGGTCATGTCTATGGCGCCTCAATCGACTTAATTGATTTGTGGGCATAACCAATACATATTTACATACGATACAGCTAATGTGTGTCTGTGTGTGTGTGTACGTGTGTGTGTTGACTTTGTGTGCAAGTGTGTGGGCGCTGTGGGCGTATGTGTGTGGGTGGGTGTGTGGCTACTTGCTTGCTTTATCTAGCTGTATGCGTTTGGCTATTAGCTTACTATTTAGAGATACTCTAAACAGGACATCAAGTCCTTAGCATTGACATATCGCTTAGAGATTTTAGTTATATATAAAATATACACAAAGATCTGAACATTTATTCTGTACGAGCTAGTTCACAATTGATTCACTTGAGTATTTCAATATTTAAATGTATCGCTTAAGGATTTACTATATACATATATAATACTATAAATAATTTCTCTCTCTACTAGATCTGAGTTCCTTTTGGAACTAGTACTTCAGGCTTTTCTCCATATATTTATTATATATATGTAAATCATTGCTATATCTAATAGATCTGAGTTCCTTTTGGAACAACTTCTAGAACAAAATTATTTATATATTTTTACATATTACTTCAGACTTTTCTCCATATATTTTTAATAAATATGTATGTATATTATTACTATATCTATTAGATTCCAGTTCCTTTTCGAACTAGTTCTCCAAAAGCTCTAGAACAGAATTATTTATATACATACTTGTTCAGGCTTTTCGATATATACTGCATTGTATATATATCTAATATTATATACTATTTCTATCTCTAATAGATTTGAGTTCCTTTTAGAGCCCGTTTTAAATAGCTCATCGATTGATTGATTGTTTTTCTACTTACCATAGCAAGCTACTTGATTGGATACACAATTATTTCTACATTTTGTAGTCTGACTTTATCGGTTTTCAATCGTTTTCTGGTTTTGCGTTGCGTATTTCTTGTTATTAACTCTCACTTGGGCACAAATCCTTTTCAAATTGGTTTCAAAAACTATATATTTCTTCCATGAAGTATCGCCAAACTATCGGTAGTCCTGCATCACAGTTTATAGAGAGTAGAGTCTAGTTGATAGTTTCTTTCCTACAGCTGGAACTATCTATAACAAATTCTGCTGCCAGCAATGGATCATTTACCCTTACCATATTGTACATATATATAGATGTTCTTTCAGTTAAAGCTATAACTATAGCAAGTTTACATTTTACAGGGTATTTGCCAGTTTGTTTAATTCTCCACGATTTGTATGGCGTCTTGTACCAATTTGCTCAACATTTTCTTTTGCACGTTTTCATTTTTTTTTATTTTCTATTTTTTTGTGTGGCAAGGTGCTCCATATCTGTATGCGTATGTGTGTGTGTGTTTGTGTGTGTTTATTTATGTTTGATTGGTTTTTATTTGTGTGGCTTTGGTATTTGGACATTTGGTTGGCTTTTAATTACCGCTGTTGCTGCTGATCAGTTTTGTTTGTGGAACGCCTCTCCCTCGCCCACATGTGGTTGGCTGCGAGCCGCCGCACCACGCCCCCTTTTTGCGTCCACGCCAAACGTTTGCCTTCGCTTTTCCTTTTATTTGTCGTGCGACAAATTTGTCAAAAAATTGTTTGACATTTGGCAGTTGGTGGGGGCGTGGCACAGGGGCAAAAGGGCGATAGATGCATTTTCATAGATACGAGTCGATTGGTTGGTTGACTCCAGTTGCTGTCGTTGTCGCTGTTGTTGTTGTTGTTGTTGTCGCATTGATAGGCTAATTTAATTAAGTTGCTGCTGTTGCTGTTGATGTTGCTGTTGCTGCAATCACCTGTCCATTGCGATTAAGCTTCAATCAAGCGTTAACAATTTTAATTAAATTATTTCGAAATGCAATTATAAATGTTCGTCATGCATAAATTGTGTTATTCATTTATTTAATAAATAACTCTGTGCTGAGTATTCGCCCCCTCAACATCAACCCCTCAACAGCCTCCCCCCCCTTACTCGCCCCACTGAGTGCCTCAACTGCAGTTGGCTCCGATTGTTTTTACATTTTGAATAAATAATCACAACGTAGGCAAAAAATGAATTTCATAAATTGCCAGCAACAGAAGCAACAAAAGCAAAAAAAAAAAAAAAAAAGAAAGAGTAAAGCGTAAAGCGTAAATATGTCTGTCAGGACAACGGCTGCTCATGTCCTGCTGCTGCTGCTGCTGCTGCTGTTGTCGTCATCGTCAATCTGTCACATTTGTTAAATGCTACAATTAATCCCCCAAGCGCGTCAACCTGCTCTGCCCCGTATGCACCTATTATTATCCTG